AAGTTTAGAGGTGCGATAAATATTGAAAGTCAACTTAAGGTTGAAATTTTTTATCTTCAGTCTGTTCAGGAGGATAAGAATAAACTCACTCTTGCCTTACCATTTGCTTTGGTTTTCCTCCTTTAATGGTACAGATGAACCTTTCTGGATTGAATAGTCAGTGATAAAAATTAATATACATAAAAATGAAATCTAAGACATTTACTACTATGTTTATTTGGTAATATCTAGCTTACATTGATATTTAAGTTAATGAAAAATATCTCAATATGTATTGATATTCTAATTTTATTATTCTCTGGTTGTAGTTAAGATCAATATTGGCTGTAGTTATTAGCTACATCTTCATTACATTAACTTTTATTTCAATATCCAGAACCAACGTCTATTAACACTCCATTCAAAAATATCTGATTCCTGCTTTCCAGGCTTCTCTCTGGGCTCCACAGTGCAGTCTCACACTAAGGGAATTTGGATGTGGTGTGTGCCTCATCCCAATAAGCCAACCCACACCCTAGTTCTGCTTGACACCGAGGGACTGGGAGATATAGAGAAGGTAAAAATAAATCTTTTAAGTTATACGCATGCCAGATAGCCCTCCTTGTCAGTGGCATATCGCCTGAAGATAGCACCTATGGCAGTTTGTTTTAAATTGCTGACTGATATCTCATAGCTGCATATGGAAACTGAGATGACTAATTGTTGTCCCCCAACCTCAAATGGTATCTTGCCTGCCATGACTTACATACTGCTTTGTTCCTTCCTTATTACTTCTCAATGGTTGAATTATGATTCCAATTGATTATATCAATGAGTGATTCTTCATCTTTACTTAGTACTAGTGAAAGTTTGGCTTTGGATGCAGTTTGTTAGCCAACTAAAGCTAGTAAACATTACCTTTGAGCATAAAGAAAACATAACCTCTGAGTACAAAGTACTGATTTGGAAGTCAATGTACCCAGAGCCCCACAGCACAAACAAAGAGAGAAGGTAATAAGGATAATTAATCATATTATGGAGTTCATGATGTCTAATGATTTTTCAGATATGTGTCTTTCACAAAATCATAGAAAAAATGTTTTCTTGAACCTGTTGGATGTGCCACTAAAGCTGACTAGATGTTTTGCAAACTTATATGTTGACTTTGTACATTGGACTCCCAAAGAGGTGATAAGAATGCCCTTATGTGTAGCAGAAGAACTAGTAAAAGGACAAGCCAAAATCTGATAGCAGCATATTTTTATATTAAAAAAAAAAAAAGATACATTACTACTCTTACAGGTCTTGGGCCACAGAAACTATTGTCAAAATAGCCTATGTTAACAGTTGTCAAATAAGTTATTTCTATGGCATGTCAGTGCAAAAGAATAGGGTCATATTCAAGAGACATTTTTGCATATTAGTAGCTGATCATAACAGCAACCATTTTCAAACGTTTATGTGTTTAACACTCTGATATGCCTTTCTATACAGTAACTTATTTATATTTTCAGAACACCTTAAATTGAATGTCAAGAAACTCACTAAACAGAGGTAAAATAAATCATATGTAGGGAAGTGATTTGCCTAAGGTTGCAAGGTAAAATGAGACAGAGTTGAGGTTCAAACTTGATCTCTCTGAATCCAAAGCACATGTTCTTAGTCATTCTTCTATGTGGTCTCTGCACTGACTTCTAGGGAGACAACCAGAATGATTCTTGGATCTTTGCTTTGGCGATACTACTGAGCAGCACTTTCGTATACAATAGCATGGGAACCATCAACCAACAGGCCATGGACCAACTGCAGTATCCTTTTTTGTCTTCCCAAATAGCCCCAAATTGAAAACAGAGCTGAATCATTTTTCACCAAGTATGGAGGTGGACATCTATAGAAGAATTCATAAGTCCCTTCCATAGTGAATCCCATTATTCTCAACATACCAGTTTATCTCAATCACCCTGAGAATTCTGAACCTTCTTGGTCACATATCATCCTCAACTACACAAAACTCTGTACATCTCCTCTTTTAACTATATTAGCCTATAATCTTCAAACCCTCAAAGTCATCTGTTGTTGTTGTTGTTGTCAGGTGCCATCGAGTCGGAACCGACTCATAGCGACCCCATGCACAGCAGAACGAAACAATGCTCGATCCTGGGCCAACCTCACCACCGCTGCCACCCCCGAGTCCATCAATGATGCCACCTGGCCGATCCATCTCGTTGGAGGTCTTCCTCTTTTTCTCTGACCCTCCACCCTACCCAGCATGACATCCTTCTCCAACGATTGTTTCCTCCGGACTACATGTCCAAAGTAGGAGAGACGAAGCTTAGCCATCCTGGCCTCCAAGGAGCACTCTGGCTGCACTTCTTCCAAAACAGATCTATTGGTTCTTTTGGCAGTCCATGGCACCCTCAGTATTCTCCTCCAACACCACAACTCAAAGGCATCAATTCTTCTACGATCCTCTTTAGTCACTGTCCAGCTTTCGCATCCATATGAGGCTATTGAAAACACAATGGCCTGGGTCAGGCGCACCCTAGTCCTCAAGCTGACATCTCTGCTCTTCAATACTTTAAAAAGTTCCTGTGCAGCAGATTTGCCCAGTGCAATACGTCGTCTGATCTCTTGACTGCTGCTTCCGCGAGTGTTGATAGTTGATCCAAGAAGAATGAAGTCCTTGACAACTTCAATCCTTTCTCCATTGATAAGAATGTTGTTTATTGGTCCAGTGGTGAGGATTTTTGTTTTCTTGACATTGAGATGCAATCCATATTGAAGGCTGTGCTCTTTAATCTTCATAAGTAAATGTTTCAAGTCCTCTTCACTTTCAGCGATCAAGGTTGTATCATCTGCATATCGCAGGTTGTTAATGAGTCTTCCTCCAATCCTGATGCCACGTTTTTCTTCATAGAACCCAGCTTCTCGTATTATTTGCTCAGCATACAGGTTGAATAAGTATGGTGAAAGAATACAACCCTGTCTCACACCTTTCCCAATTTTAAAACTTTCAGTGTTCCCATGTTCTGTTCGAACAACTGCTTCTTGGTCTAGGTACAGATTTCTTAGAAGTACAATTAAGTGTTCTGGAATACTCATACTTCTCAATGTTGTCCATAGCTTGTCATGATCCACACAATCGAAAGCCTTTGCGTAGTCAATAAAGCACAGGTAAACATCCTTCTGATATTCTCTGCTTTCAGCCAAGATCCATCGGACATCAGCAATGATATCTCTCGTTCCACGGCCTCTTCTGAATAAATAAGTCATGTAGAACTTATTTTTTCCCTTCAACAAAATCACTATATCCTTACCATTTTCTCTAAATGTTTACTTTTGACCTGGTTGTCCCTTGCCAATATAATTTCACTCTCAGGCCCATCAAATGGTCTCAAATGGTGATGTATTATCACTCTTATCTTATATTTAACAGGTCCCATATATTAGTTAGATGTCATACTTGCTCCTTGTTTCCGCTTAAAGATGCTTTCTCTTTCTGCTTCCAGTAATCAGAAAAGATACTTTTAAACACAGACCCTTACACTTTGCTGCATTTTTTATTGTGCTTGTTAACCAACTTCTCAGTAAACAAACCACTTATCTGTTAACAAATTTTAGCTTCTAATACATGGTGTTTCTAGACACCTCAGCAACTGATACTTATCCAAAATCTCAGATTTCTCTGTTCCATTACATCGTAATAAACTTTTCTTCCACCTTCCTGCATTACCAAGTCTGGAATATTATCAGTAGCTTCACTATTTCTACAAATTCAGTTTTAAAATTCACAAGCAATTTATTGTTTTTTGTTTTTTGCTAAGATCTTCACATTTCTGTATCTAATAGCTCTTAGTGCTCATGTTATTTGTTTTTCAACAGCATTTGACAAAAAAAAAAAAAAGTCTTACTTCTTTCAGACTTGAAACACAAGCTTGGCAGTTCAAACCCATCAGCTGTTCCTCAGAAACCCTAACGGGTCCCTAGGTGATCTTACCCAGTCCTGAGGTGTTCCATATCATCTACCTATGAGTAACCATCAAATTTATATCTCCAGTCATAATCTCTGTTCTCAGCTTTAAACCTGTATATATATATATATATAAAACAACTTTCTCATCTTTTCCATTTAGATGTGTAAGACACATCTCAAACTAAACATATATGAAACAAATTTCTTAGTCTGCTTGTACAAAACTACTCTTCCCCAATGTTCCTTACCAGAGACATTTTTCATATCACCATGCAGGTGATGATTAGAATGTTGACATCATTTTGGATGATTCCATCCCTTATACCTTCAAACTCTACAACATCAAGTTTATTCCACTTCATAGCTGCCATGCATGGGGTTTCTGAGGCTGTAGTCTTTATAGGAGCAAAGAACTGCATCTTTCTTCTGTAGAGCAGAATAAGTCCAGGGCTTATTCTACAGATCCACCAGAGCTCCTTAAACTCTAAGAATTAGTAATCATTAAATCCTGTCATCAGCACTTTCAAAAACATTTCCCCAAACTGATCCTCACAACTCATTTATCATAACTCTAGTATAAGTCCTCCATTACCTTTCTTCTGGGTTTCCTCCTGAGCTCCCTAATTTCTTTCCCTGTTTATACTCCTTATTGTTACCCAACTTACACAAGTCATAATAATCTTTTAAAATCAAATATCAGACCATATGCTCTTTCACCTACCCAGCAGTCTCAAGCAACGTTCTATAAAGAAGCAAAACCAGTGAAGCTTATTATGTATATATAAAGAGAAGTATATATCAAAGATATGACTCACATTTGTTGTTCTTATTGTTGGGTGCCATCAAGTCGGTACAACTCATAGCAACCCTATGTACAAAGGAATGAAACACTGCCTGGTTCTGAGCCATTCTCACAATTGTTGACATGCTTGAACCCATTGATGCTGCCACTTTGCCAATCCATCTCACTAGGGTCTTCCTCCTTTTCTCTGACCCTCCGCCTTACCAAACATGCTACCTTTCTCCAGGGATTGGTCCCTTCTGACAATATGTCCAAAATATGAGAGACAAAGTTTGGCCATTCTTGCCTCCAAGGAGCACTCTGGCTACACTTCTTCCAACACAGCCCATGACACTTTCAATATTCTCCTCCCACACCATATCTCAAAAGCATCAATTCTTGTATGGTCTTCCTTATTCACTGTCCAGTTCTCACATGCATATGAGGTTATTGAAAATACCATGGTTTGGGTCAGGCACACCTTATTCCTCAAGCTGTCATCTTTGCTCTTCAACACTTTAAAAAGGTCCTGTGCAGCAGATTTGCCTAATGCAATACGTCATTTGATTTCTTGACTACTGCTCCCATGAATGTTGATAGTTGATCCAAGAAGAATGAAGTCCTTGACAACTTAATTGTTGTCATTAAGTGCCTTTGAATTGGTTCCAAACCATAGAAACCTTATATAGGCTTTCTGAGGATCACCTGGTGAGCTTGAACCTCCAACCTTACAGTGCAAAGGACTTTGCAGTCCAGCACATTAATGCACAGTGCCACAGGGCAAATCCCAAGTCCTTGGGTCAGATGTCAGGCTGGAGATTTCTCATTCTCATAGCTGCAGAGCTGATGAACCATGATAGGCAGGTCAGATGGTAGGCAGGCAGATCATCGGCCAGGTAATATAGAAAGCTGCTGATGACATCCAAGATAAGTAGGCAATAGAGAAGGTGACTTGAGCCACTGGTTCAAAAAACCAAAGGTCAGATGACAAGCCAGATGAAGGATTCACACCCAGCAGAAAACAACAAGCTTTGACTGAGTTCCAGTATATTGAAAGTAGACCACACCTTGGAGGAAACTTCCTTACAATTAATTGCTTGTTCATAGAAGATTTCACCATTAGAGATGATTGCATAATATTAGATCTCATTAGAGATGACTGCATCTCAACTGTCAATTCACTGAGAATCCTGGTCCAGTCAAGTTCACACAAAACCTTAACTATAACATCCCCTAAATAGCTTCCTTTAAGTTTATTTAAAATTCAGACTCCTTTCCTTATTATAACTTCCAATGTTTATATGGTCTGCTTCCTATTTTTTCTTGGACTGTGTCATATCTTTAATGGTGTTCTTGCTATAGATTGGACACACTCACTTATTCCCTACTTAAAGACTGCCTGCAATGCTCTTCCAAAGGACTCCTTTGTGGGTGGTTCACTCCTTTCATTTAGATTTCTGTGAGAATATCAACTCAGGGAGGACTATCTGAACAATTATATAAACCAACACCGCATGATGATACACACTGTTTATCTCTACCTCATTTTTCTTCAAGACAACAGTCATAACTATCTGATATTTGTTGTCCCATTTTGGGAAGAACATGCTCAGCATTTCTCAAGCTGAGGGAACTTAAGAAAATCCAAGCCTTGACTTGAAGTATTGAAAGATTCTCTGGGGAAATTATTGAATGATGCAGAAAGCATCAAAAGAAGATGGAAGGAATACACAGAGTCACTGTACTAAAAAGATATGGTTGATGTTCAAGCATTTCAAGAGGTAGCATATGATCAAGATCCAATCAACCTGAAGGGAGAAGTTCAAGGTGCACTGAAGGCATTGGCAAAGAACAAGGCACTGAGAATTGATGGAATACAAATTGAAATATTTCAACAAATTAATGCAGCACTGGAGCCACTCACCCATCTATGCTAAGAGATTTGGAAAGTTGTACCTAGCCAACTGACTGGGAGAGATCTGTATTTGTGCCTATTCCAAAGAGAGGCAATCCAATGGAATACAGATATCATCAGCCAATATCATTGATATCCCATGTGAGTGAAGTTTTACTAAAGATAATATAAAAGCTACTGCAATCATACATTGACAGAGAACTTCCAGAGGTTCCAGCCAGATTCAGAAGAGCATGTAGAATGAGGGATATCATTGCTGACATCAGATGGATCTTGGATGAAAGCAGAGGATACCAAAAAGATGTTTATCTGTGCTTTGTTGACTATACAAAGCCTTTCGATTGTGTGGATCATGAGAAGCTATGGACAATATTGCAAAGTATGAGAATTCCAGAATACTCAATTATGTGCAAGAGAACCTGTGCATAGACCAAGAGGCAGTTGTTCAAGCAGAACAAGAAAACACCAAATGGTTTCACTTAGGAAAGGTGTGCGCCAGGGTTATAGTCATTCACCATATTTATTCAATCTGCATGCTGTGCAAATAATCCAAGGAGCTGGATTGTGAAGAAAAATGTGTCAACTGGATGAAAACTCATTAACAACTTTCAATATGCAGATGATACTACCTTCCTTGCTCAAAGAGACAAGGACTTATAATATTGATGAAGATCAAAGACCACAACCTTTGGTAAATACAAAGAAAACAAAAATCCTCACCACCGAACCAATAAATAGCATCTCTATAAATTGAGTAAAGACTGAAGTTGTCTAACATTTTATTTTTCTTGAATCAACCATCAACACTCATGGAAGGAGTAGTCAAGAAATCAATCGATGTATTGCATTACACAAATCTGTTGCACAAGACCACTTTAAAGTGTTGAAGAGCAAAGATGCCACTTTGAGGACTAAGGTGCACCTGATTCAAGACATGGTATTTTCAATAGCATCATATGCATACAACAGTTGGACAATGAATAAGAAAGATCATAGAAGAACTGATGCATTTGAGTTACGGTGTTGTAAGAGATTGTTTAAAATACCACACATGTCTACAGAACAAACAGATCTGCATTGGAAGAAGTACATCCATAATGCTCCTTGGAAGCCAAGATGTCCAGATTTCATCGCTCATACTTCAGACATATTGTCAGGAGGGACCCAGTCCTTGGAGAAGGATATCTTGTTTAGTAAGGTAGAGGGTTGGAGAAAAAGAGGAAGACTACAATGAGATGCATTGACACTGGTGGCAGTGATGGGCTCAGGCCTAGTAAAGATTGTGAGGTTGACCCAGTACAGGGCAGTGGTTCCTTCTGTTGTGCATAGGCTCGCTATGAGTTGGTACCAACTTAATGACACCTAACTACTAGTACTATCTGATATTTTAGTATATTTTTGGTTGTTTGTTTATTGTCTGTCTTTGTCAAATAGAGGATAAACTATTTGAATGCATTGTCTTATGCACTGAAATGCTGTTAGCCACTAAAACTGTGCTTGGTTCACAAACATTCTCAAAATATAACTGTGGAATGAATGAATGATATAATAAAGAGAAAACAAATTGTTTCAAATAAGCATTGAAAGAAAACATAGCATAAAAATACTATTTTTTTTTTTCTGTGCTTTTCCTAAATTAACATTTCAGTTATGTGACTGAGCTGACAGATCGAATCCGGTCAAAATCCTCACCTGATAATAGCGAGTGCTGTGACTCAGCTGACTTTGTGAGCTTCTTTCCAGACTTCGTGTGGACACTAAGAGATTTCTCCCTGGAACTGGAAGCTCATGGAAAACCTATCACTCCTGATGAGTACTTGGAGATTTCACTGAAGCTAAAACAAGGTGTCTGGGACTAGTTGCTGGGTACCAAACAGAGAGATAATAATATAAAAAATAACCATTTCTGTGTAGATGCTAAAAATTATTATTTCTTTTATTTATTTCTCTGAAAGTAGTTATGTAATGGTACTGTATTCTGGAGTCGATTCTGACTCATAGCAACCCTTTATAAGGTTGCCGAGGATGTAAATCTTTACAGGAACAGAAACCTTCATCTTTCTCTGGTGGAACTGCTGGTATTTTAGAAATGCTATCTGTGAAGCTAGCAGCCTGACTCATAACCACAATGCAACCAGAGTTCCTTGGAATTAGTACCACAGGATGTGAAAGCATTATTTAGTTGAGTTACTTGTATTCAATTTCTCCACTCAGAAAAAAACTTTGTTGTTTACAATTCTCCTTTTATTGCTGGTCCATAATTAGCTAAGTGTTATCTACTTATATAGGCTTTGTGAAAATTATATTCAGGAAACAATTGTGATAATTAATCTGAGGGTGAACTACCTCCAATTTTTATTCCCCTAGGTACTGACCAAAAAGCTAAACGCTTTAATGAGCCTCGATTGTGCATCCGGAAGTTCTTCCCCAAGAAGAAGTGCTTCATTTTTGACAGACCCGCTCCAAGAAAGCACCTTATTCACCTGGAGCAGCTAGAGGAGGAAGAACTGAGCGAGGAGTTTGTAGAACAAGTTGAAGAGTTCTGCTTCTACATCTTCAGCCAATCCAAGGCCAAGACTCTTTCAGGCGGCATCATAGTCAACGGGCCTCGTGAGTCACTCCCTCTCTTCCAACTCCTTACTAAGACTTTCCTTTGCTCCCTTTAGAGGATAAAATAGGGGAGACTTAAATATTACTTCTAGTAAGTATATGAAACTCACACAAGGGTCATATTTATAAAAATGAAGAGGAGCTAAAATTATTTCTAGTAACATCTAAAGTTCATAATTATAAGGTGGGAAAAAAAACCTAGATGCCAATTCATTTATAGTAATTTCATCCACCAACTGCTCAGCTCCACATTTTTGAAATTTTCTTCAATAAAATATATAGTGTGACAGAGTCAAGAAAAAGCAAATACTTTTTGTATGTCAGGCTTTGGCAGTAACTTTCATGCTATTCTTTTATCCATCCATTCATAATATTTAGTAAATGCCTGCAATACATCAACCACCATACTAACCAATGGGTATAATGGTCAATACACGAAATGTGATTACTATTTTCATTCCAGCATAATAGGGATAAAATGAACTGTAATAAAATGTTTAGAAACTCATGATAAATGACATCAAATAAAAATACTACACTATCATAAGAGAGCAGTGGAAACCGTGGTGGCACGGTGGAAAAAGTGTTTGGCTATGAACCAAAAGATTGAAAGTTCAATTCACCACCTGCTTTATAGGAGAAAAAATATGGCAATATGTTTTCATAGGTATCCCAATCAACAAAATATTATGGGGCAGTTCAATTCTGAACTATAAGGTTATTAAGAGTCTGAATCGACTTGAAAGCAATGAGTTTGACTTGATTGTGGTGAGGACTGGGGTTTTACACAGGTGTGGTTTAATTTAGGCTGAATGATAGAGAATACTTGTCTATAAAAGAGATGTTTGAGGTTAGAAATTAAATATAGGTAGGCATGAACCAGAAGAACAGGAAGTAGTAGCTTTGAAGACAGAGGGGATTTATATGAAAAAGCTCTAAGGCAGAAAACAATTTGCAATTTCAAGAAAATACAAGGAAGACTATGTTATTGGTACATGAGTAGAGTGAATGAGAGTGCAGTATAATTATAAAAAGATGCAGGAAATAGTTCTTGAAAGGTGGATTACTTCAAAGAGACTAGAGTTTATTCAGAGCTCAGTGAGAATGTATTGAAGGAGATTAGACAGAAACAGAAACTTACATTATCTAATTTTTATTTAAACAAGTTTTTCTGAATACTTTGTAGATTGTGCTTTGCAGGGTGTAAGGAAATGAAGAGAACATGGTAGTTTCATAGGATAAGCATTGTACTGCAAACCACAATGTTAGTGGTTTAAACCCACCAGCCACTCCACAAGACCAATGAGGCTTTCTGCTACTACAAAATATTTTTTAAACCTATATAGAATCACCAACTCAATGGCCCCTAACAGCAGCATGGGGAATGAAGGAACCCAGGGGGCTCAGTGGGTTAAATACTGGATTGCTAACTAAAACATCAGTAGTTCAAACTTTGAAGCTGCTCTCAGTGAGAAAGATAAAGTTACCTCCTTCTTTAAAGATTTATAGTCCCAGAACTATATAGATTCACTATCTATTAGAATCAACTCAGTGGCAGTGATATTTGGAAGCCAATTAAGAAGTTCTGGGGAACACTGGGTTAAGCTAACCTAAAAATCTGTGACTCAAGTCCACCAACAGATCCATGGTAGTAAGATGAGGTCGTTCATTTCTGTGAAGATTCACAGCCCAAAACCCTTCAGAGAAAGTCTACTGTGTACTATAGGGTCACTTTGAGTTGGAATCAACTAGAGACCAGTGGACTTTTGTTTTATTTTTAAGAGAATGAATTTAAAAAAAATGATTCTATTTACAATGGCTTAACAATAGATGAGAATGTGTTAGAAAATTTTATAGTAGTGGAGATAGGCAAAGCACAGGTTCCATGTATGTTTTGGATATGGAATCAGTAAGGACTGATATTTAGAGTTGCCAGCTGTTCTCATTGATCGACTGACTTTTTGTGAAATATGAGTATTTCAGTCCTAAATCCAGCAAAGTTTTAGGACAACTGGAATGAGTTAGTTACCCTACATGTAGCTCTGAAAGAGGATATCCAGGAACATCCATTTACCTAGTCTGGACACAGGGCTAGTAGCCTGTACCGCAAAAAGAAATCTAAGCATGCTACATGATCCTTTTCATAAATTGGAAGTGAGGAGAAAGGAGGCTAGAAGAAAAAGAACAGAGTACAGGGACGGAGAGAACGATGAACAAAAGACATAAAGGCAGAATATCTTGGGGGAAAAAACAATTCTGATCATTCATTTCAATAATTTCCATTTGAATAGACAGAAGAAAAGGAAATAAAAGCTATAAATGTGTGTAGACTTAAAGGTTGACTATAGTTTCCATCAGTATTCTTTCTCAGAATAAAGCCTTAAAAACTATTATGTGTGACATTTCAAGACATACAGAAACTATAGCCTTTGATTAAAAAAATCATCCTCAGAACTAAGCAGAATGTTGAGTGCTCTCCTGTCTCCCCACAAGTGATACTCTTGTTCCTTCTTTAGGTCTGAAGAACCTAGTACTGACCTATGTCAATGCCATCAGCAGTGGAGATCTGCCCTGCATGGAGAACGCAGTTCTGACCTTGGCTCAGATAGAGAACTCAGCTGCAGTGCAAAAGGCCATTGTCCACTATGATCAACAGATGGGCCAGAAGGTGCAGTTGCCCACAGAAACCCTGCAGGAACTTCTGGACCTGCACAGGGCCATTGAGAGAGAGGCCATTGAAGTCTTCATGAAGAGCTCCTTCAAGGATGTGGACCAAAAGTTCCAGAAGGAATTAGGGGTATATTTGCTATATAATTATTAAAAAGAAAACTAATAATTATTTGCTTTGATAGACATAAAAAAAAATTCAAAAACCTAGAAAAACAATCATGAGAATATTACTCAAGAACATATACAAATCTTCCTGCTTCCAAGTTAAGCAAGGATAGTGCTTGACAAATGGCCACTGAACAAGTGCCATTCCTTCCCATGGTTTGCAAGGCAAGATGTTATAAACGATGCAATATTGCATCAGATGTCCTGATAAAAATAGATAGTCAAGATACTGAAAATAACAACCATTTAGGCTAAATTTACTACCACTTATCTGTCAGTTTGTAGTACTGTGGTGGCTTGCTTATTGCTATGAATTTGGAAGCCATATTATGGGTATTTTAAGTACCAGTAAGGTCACCCTGAGTGAAAAGATTTCACCTAAGCTTCCAAACAAAACAGACTAGTAAGAAGGAGTGACAGACTACTTCCAAATATATTGTCACTGAATACCTTATTAATAGCAGCGAAACACTGTCAGAAAGCACCAGAATATTGAATATTGAAACATGATAAAGGGTACCAGAATATTGTCAAATATAATGATAGGAAATGGACACCTAAATTTGGAAGGCACTCAAAATACGACTGCTGCCTCCTCAAAGTAGAGTTAACCATGAGGATGAGAATGAAGTAAAGCTTTTGGAACCTTCATTTGCTGATAGGTACAACTCAAAATAAGGAGAAAAGGCTGAAAACATCCATTATTAATCAGAACATGGAATATAGAAAGAATGAATGTAGGAAAATTGAAAGTTGTCAAAAATGAAATGTAGTGTATAAACATCAATATATTAGGCATTAGTGAGCTAAATGGACTGGTATTGGCCATTTTGAATCTAACAATCACCTGGTTTACTATGCCAGGAATGACAAACTAAAGAGATATGATGCCACAGTCATCATCAAAAAGAACATTTTAAGGTATTTCTTGAAGTATAATGCTGTTTGTGATTAATATCAGTTAATATAATTATTATTTAAATTTTTGAACCAAACACTAAAGCCAATGATGATGAAATTGAAGAATTCTACCAACATCTGATAGAATATACAATCAAGATGTATTGATCAGTACTAGAGATTGGAAAGCAAAGGTTTGCAAAAAAGAGGAAAGACCAGTAGTTGGAAAGTATAGCCTTAGTAATAGAAATGGTATTGGAGTTCACAGGATAGAATTTTCCAAGACCAATGACGTCTTCATCGCAAATAATATGAAAGATTACTATATACATGGACGTCACCAAATAGAATACACAGAAATCAAATTGACTTTATCTATGGGAAAAGATGGTAGGAAAGCACCACATCTTCAGCCAAAACAAGACCTGGGGCAGACCATGTAACATACCATAAATTACACATATGCAAGATCAGGCTGAAGCGAAAAAAAAAATGAAAATAATTCCATGAGAGCCAAAATATGATGTTGAACACAACCACCTGAATTTAGGAATCAGCTCAAGAACATATATAAAGAATTAGACACTAGTGACCGAAGACCAGAAGAGTTGTGAAATGACATCAAGAACTTCATACAGGAAAACGTAAAAGGTCATTAAGTAGACAAGAAAGATAAACAATCCAAAATGAATGTCAGAAGAGACTTTGAAACTTGCTCTCCAGCAAACAGATGATAAAGCAAATGGAAGAAATGAGGAGGTAAAACAACTGAACAGAAAATCTCAATGGACAGAACCAGACAATAGTCAAATATTATAATGATATGTGCAAAAACCTAGAGTTAGGATTTCAAAATGAAAGAGCATGCTAAACATTTCTCAACCTGAAAGAACTGAGGAAATAATTCAAGCCTCAACTTGCAATATTGAAAGATTCTATGGGGAAAATATTGAATGATGTAGAAAGCTCAAAAGAATATGGAAGGAATTAAAAGACTCTAGAAGGAATACATACAGTCACTGTATCAAAAGAAATGAATTTATGATCAACCATTTCATGAGGTAACAAACGATCAAGAGCCAGTATACTGAATGAAGAAGTCCACGGTACACTAAAGACATTGGCAAAGAACAAGGCTCCGGAACTGATGAAACACAAATTGAAATACTTCAAGAATCTGATGCAGCTCTGGAAGTACTCACTCATCTATGCCAAGAAATTTAGAAAACAACTACCTGACCAACTGGTGGGAAGAGATCCATATTTGTACCCATTCCAAACAGTAATGGCACAACGGAATGTGGAAATCATTTGATAACATCATTAATATTGCATGTAAGTAAAATTTTGTTAAAGGTAATTCAAAAGCAGCTGCAACAATATATTGACAGGGAAATACCCAAGGTTCAAGCCAGATTCAAATGTGGTAGAATGAGGGATATCACTGCTGACATAAGATGGATCTTGACTGAAAGAAAAGAATACTAGAAAGATGCTCACCTGTTCTTTAAAAATGACACAAAGACTTTCTATTGCGTGGATCATGACAAACTATGGACAACATTGTAGAGAACAAGTATTCCAGAAGACTTTATTTTGTTTGTGAGAAACCTGTACACAGACCAAAAAGCAGTTGTTCAAACAGAGCAAGGGAACACTGATTGACTTAACATTAAGAAAGGTGTGCACCAGGGTTGTGTTCTTTAATCATACTTACTCAATCTTTATGCTGATCAAATAACCTAAGAAGCTGAATTATATGAGAAAAAAAAAGCATTAGGATTGGAGGAAGACTCACGAAAAACCTGTAATAAGCAAATAATACAACCCTGCTTGCTAAAAACAAACAGGACATAAAATACTTACTGATGAAGATCATAGACCACATAGACATGGAATACACAGAAATCAAATTGACTACATCTATGGAAAAAGACGGTGGGAAAGTTTTATATAGGCATGTAACCAAAATAAACATCCTCACCACTGTACCAATAAAATATCCTCAAGATAAATGGAGAAAAGATTGAAGTTGTCAAAAACTTCATTTTTCTCTGATCAACCATGAGCACTCATGGAAACAGCATTCAAGAAATCAAATGACATATTGCATTTGCAAATCTGTTGGACAAGAATTCTTTGAAGTGTTCAAGACCAAGATGTCAGTTTGAGGATTAACATGTGCCTTATCCAAGCCATGGTATTTTCAATAACCTCATATGCATATGAAAGTTGGACAATGATTAACAGAGACCATAGAAGAATTGATGCATCTGTGTTACAGTGTCGGAGGATATTATTAAAAGTACCATGGACTATTAAAAGAACAAACAGATCTGTGTTGGAAGAAGTATAGTCAGAATGGTCCTTAGAAGCAAGAATAGTGAGACTTCATCTCTCATACTTCAGACATATTATCAAGAGGTACCATTAATTGGAAAAGGACATTATGCTTTGTAAAGTGGAGTTCAGGAAAAAAACCAGAAACACCCCCAATGAGATGGATTGGCAGAGTGGGAGCAGCAATGGACTCAAGTGTAGTGACGATTGTGACGTTGATGTAGGACTGGGAAATGTTTGTTCTGTGTTGCATAAAGTTGCTATGATTTGGTACTGTCTTGATGACACCTAACAACAACAACAGCTGAAAGGAAAAGCTTGCCATTGAAGTCATCTTGAGTGATCTGTTGATAAAGATTTTATTCTGTCAGACTTTCTAAATAAAGTACAGCCAACATTACCTTCATTAGGGTTATACTGTTGTTGTTCAGTGTCATCAAGTTAGTTCTGACAAATAGAGACCCTGTATAGAGTATCTGAAAGGAGTTCTGGTAGCGTAGTGGTTACGAATCGGGCTGCGATCCTTAAGGTCAGCGGTTCGAAACTACCAGCCGCTCCGCGGGAGAAAGATGCGGCTTTCTACTCCCGTAAGGATTTACACCCTCGGAAACCCT